CGAAAGTGATCAATGCGAACATGGTTCTGTGTGTACTAATAGCGTTGTTTTAGAGTATTTAGTGACATGCCCTATTTGCCAAAAGCAGAGATATTGCAGTCAAAAGTGTTATTTGGAAGACACTGAAAAACACCGGAAGGCATGTCTTGAGAGTGTCCATTTGTTCAAACTGTCAGAAGAAAACAATTTAGAAACGACAACAGAAACGACGTCTTCCCTTGTCGAAAAAGTCTCGGGGATTAATAACCTTGCGCAAGCCATATTCTCATTGTTTAACATCATTCTCTCGAAATTAAAACCAGAACACTTCATTGTGTTGTTTAATAAGCTCACAACAGTGTTTAACAACCTCTTCAATTTGTTTGACAAACATGTGGAAGTTATCGACAAAATTGCGAACTCCGAGACTCTTGTTGAGATCTACGACTTGTTTGTTGTACAACTTTTCGAGATGTTTTTAGCAATCTTTTTAGTCGACGAAGAGCACAGAAAGCTCATCACGACTTCATTCTTCTCTTTTGTGGAGAGTGTGCTCACTCAATTTGTTGATAACAAGTGTGAGTTTTCTTTGAGTGTTCCAAAGAGCGTTGTCTTATCCTTTTTGACTCAGATGCTCAAGATTCAAGATGATGCAGTCGTTTGTTTTTTATTGAATTTTTTCATAATTACTTTATTAATAAATTATTTAATTAATTCGTTATAACTTCTAGTACTTTCAAATGTCTGATTATATCTATACAATTGTTGTCGATATGATCCTCACAAAAGACGACGACACCCGTGAATTAATTCGGTCTGTTTTATCCCGTCATAGGAAAAACTCAATTGCCAAGAGTGTTTCTAAATAATCGACTTGTTTCCATAGTATTTCGTTCTTTCTATATTTTTCAACTAATTATATGTTTAGAAAACTCGATTGTTTGATTTTTTTAAATAATTGTAATACTTTTAATATTTTCACTAAAACCAGTGCAAATTATTTCTATTGAGTGAAAATACTATTTCTTAATTATATTAATATTAAAAAAATAGTTTCAAGGAGGCTACAAAATCATAGCGAACTCGAAAGACATTCATTACATGGCGGAAGTTGATGCGATGACTATCAGACTCGACTTCGAAGCATTCAAAGCCCGGATGGACAAAGAGTTGACCGAAGTCGAAGCTGCTGCTTTAAGTTGTGAACGTGAGAGTGAGTCTGCTCTCAAGCAAATGCCAAG